TTCATCATTTTCATTACTAGCTAGATATCGTCACCGCTCTAGGTAGTCGGCTCTTTCCTTTCTCCTTCTTATCCCTTTTTTTCTTCTTCTTTTGCATTTTCTTATCTCCATTGCCCTACAACGTGAATAGTGGAGAGCAACTTGCTCACCACCACCCTCTGTTATTTTTAGGCCTGTTTGAGAGTGTAATTATAGTTGCTTTTCAAAATGTATTTCATGGTGAAATGTATCAAAATGATATATTTTTTATTTTTTTTAAATTATTTTTGAAATCAGTATATCAAAACAATTCAAAACATAAAAAAATATTATTTTTTAGCAAAAAAAATAAAAAAATTAAATTTTTTAGAGACACGGGTTAGACCATGTTTCTAAACGCTCACAAATCCACTACTGGCCAAACATCATTATTACATAGGGTCCCTTTCCCTTCCCTTTCTTCTCCTTCTTTTTTTGTTGTTGTTGCATTTAGCCACTCTCCGCTGTTTTGCAAAGTGAACAATGAAGAGCAGCTTCATTGTTCATGAGCTGGATCGGGTCAAATTTAAATGCATTAAACTAGATTTGACCTAGTAAAACAAAAAAATTCAAATTTTTTTCTCAAATATTGTGTTTTATTAGAAAAACTAATATTTAGCATGATTTAAAGGCACTACATAATTAAATTAAAAGGAGATCGTATGATGATGTAATATTTACAAAATTCAATCTCAATCTCAATTTTATTCCTGATGATATTTTACCTGATATTATTGCATGATATTTTACCTGATGTTGTTGCATGCTCAGAAAACCATGAAAATTGTAGTCATTATAAGATATATTTTGCAAGTGATAAAATTGTACATAGTTTAATGAAATAATAAAAAATATTTTCTTATAAAATTTTATTTATTTTATGATATAATAACAGTAGTTAAATTTATAATATTTCAATTAAAAACCATCAATATTAATATGTTTTTTTAGTTATTTTATAATCTCAATTTGAAAAGTATTCTTAACTAAACATATTAAATTACTTTTTGTTCAATCTAAATTTCAACTATAGTTATAATCAAATATATATTTTTACAAACTAATTTCAACTAAAAATATATTTTTTTAAATTATAACTATAATAATTATTATAATACCAAACACATTTTAAGATAGTTTTACTTTCGGTTTAATTTTTTAAAAATTTTAAACTGTAAAAATAAATTAGAAATGTTACTATTTATTTTTTGGTTTTCGAGCCATTAACGTGGGCCAACTTTAATATCTGAGCCCAAACTATTTAAGAAGGCAAAACAACAACAACTAAACCCCAGCTCCCAGGCCATCACCATCACCGTCGGCTCCAACACTCTTTTATCAATCACGATTACCAATGGCCAGGGACACCTGCTTGGCTCGAGTCACTGCTGGCGTTGCCGTTGGAGGTGCTGTTGGCGGCGCAGTCGGTAAGTTTCTATAATATCTCTCATTCTCTCTTTCAAAAGAAAGAAAAACCCTGAACCCCAGTATTCTATTTAGGTACTCAAAGGATCAAGTTTGCTTTTCTTATGGGAATGGAATTTTTTCCTTTATCAAACTACTACTATTCTGTAATCTCTTTGTTTTTTTAAAACAAATTAATGATGGGTTTTTGATGATTGCTTGTGTTCTATGTGTAGGTGCTGTTTATGGGACTTATGAGGCTATTAGGAACAGGGTAATCTCTCCGTCCCATTGTAGTATTTTCCTTCAAGGGTTTCCTTGATTTTCTTTGTTTTTCTTCTATATTCAAATCAGACATCTTGAGTATTTGATAGCTTTTGTTACAGAAAAAGGTCATTACTTTGTTGTCATTGCGTCAATGTTAGGCTATTTAGGAAGAGAATTTGGTATTCGATTTTTGTCATTGCAAATCCTGGACTTTTTACCGACACAACTAGCAAGAGATGTGGAATTTACTTCAGGAGTTCATGTAGATGTATAGTTGTACAATTGTAGGACAGTACATCGAGGATGTTTGGTGGAAATGGCATGTATGGTATACGTATGTTGTTTGGTGTCGTCTATTACTCTAGTAGCTTTGTATTTTCCAAGAGGAACGAATGTTTCCAGCCGTTTAATTTGTCAAGTCATACCTCCTTGTCCTTTCATTCAAGTGTTGCTAGTAGATACAAGCCTGAGAAGTTCTCAATAGATCATGTAATGCAATATTTGTGTGCTTTGTTTTTTCTGCTGTTAATTCTTGGTGCCTTTGCAATCCGATGGGGCTCTCAAGCATGGGAGGCTTAGCTTTTTGTTAGTTCAGAGTCTTGCTTGTCAGGAGAGAATTTTCCTTGCAACAAATAGACAACCTTGAGTTCACTAGGTTATTTAGAACCCATTAGCTATATCCTTGAAATAGACGAGGGGGTGCTTCTTGAATTCAAAAGAAACCAGAGCTCTTAGAAATTGTCATGAACAGAAAAATTTCAGCACTCAAGCTGCAGAGTCTACTAGGCTCTCTAAACTAAGTCAGCTCTCCGTCCGTTCTTTATCACCTTTATCATTCATCTTAGATTGAAGTCCTCTGTTCTGGTTAAGGATTTAACGATAGACACATAATAACTTTTTCACCGTGCTGCTAGTTGGGTGACTGATATCCCTGATGGTTCTAGCTTCTGCTTTTTGAACATACAGGTTCCTGGACTTTTGAAAGTAAGGTATATTGGGCAAACTACAGTTGGAAGTGCTGCAATTTTTGGTCTCTTCCTGGGTGCTGGGAGCTTGATTCATTGCGGAAAGTCTTACTGACTTACCATCCATTTTGTAACCATAAGATTGATTCTCAACTAGAGAGATTTTGTATTTAAAGCCAAATATTTTTTTGGTAGCAAATCTCAAACCATATAAAATCAAGCCTCCATTATGTCTCTATTTATGTTTGTGGTTGGGACTTCTACCATCCAAAACTGAATTGCGAACTGTTAGAAGCCTCAAGGCTGGCTTTATATTACAAAGTACTGATCAATTTCATGAATTTGTACTTGACGTAATACATCATTAATCTTAAGTCTGCCTTCTAGACAAATTTAATCGCTGCTAATTTGTTGTTAATCTTACGTAAATGTTCTAATAGTTAACTGTGCTTCTACTCTGTATTAAATTATTTTCAATTACTAAAAGCTTGGAAGTAGGATGGCAATGGTTACTCATGAGTTGTATTTTTTTTATACAAGTATAGGATTTTATTTTATCCATTATCCATTAGAGAAGGTAGATTAAAAATAACTCACATATCGTTTTCAACCAGGTTTAGGTTAAGTTTTCATTCCTATAACTTTAAGATCCACGAAAATATTTATTAGAATATTAAGAAGAGCACCAAGACTAACAGCATTTTTATCTTTACCTGTCAGCTTCAAACCAATTGCGAGGAATGAGCCGAGTGATTTATGCCTAGCCCACTTGATAATTCTTTTCACACGTTAGCCAAGACTGCTGCATTATTTATATGGTGATTGCTAGCAGTAACCATCTCCCATTAATCGCCATAGGTAATGAACTTTGATGGAGTATTTTTTTGCTTCCATACTGGTCGTTGAAATGAATTTAATGGCTTTGTCAATTTAATCTGGTTCAGTGCTACGCTAGTTGGCAGTTGCAATGTTTATCGCTCGAAAAAGCCAACTCTTTCCATCCTTCTCTGCGATTCCTTTCTCCATGGGCCTGGGCTTAATAACATAGCTACGTGTGGCTGTGTGTTCTTCCCTTATTCGTGGAAGATGATGGAAGCAAATTACAACGTGGAGATATATAAGTGTACATACTGTCGTTTGTCAAAAGGGCAAGGCACGGCACCAAAAGGGAGGAAGCCTCCAATTTTGAACCAAAATTTAGTCAAACCTCAAGTTCACCCACGTTCTCCTCTGCCGTTTCATTCTCTTCCTTCAATCACTCCTTAATAACAGAGATTACCTTTGCTTCCAGGTTCCAAGTCTTCATGCAATGTTGTTGAGGATTTTGTTCTTTGTTTGTTGTTGATCATCAACTGAGAAACACCACATTAAGTGTGGGTTGAAGAGTTGTTCTAGGTAGCTAGCTATCATGGCAATGAAGCCAAGCTTGATCATAATGGTGGCATGTAGGGTTTGGAGGGTCTTAAGTGAGCTGCTCTCTGTTTGCTTTATTGTTGCTGATGATGTTGCTGTCTCCCTGAGCCAACAACTAAATGTCGACTCTGATTGAGAGAAATCTTTGTCGTCGGTGGCCAATAGGGTTTGGAAGGTTTTTGATTCTTGAAGATTTGTACTAGTTGGTTGCTTGATTATAGGGATTAAATTCTTATTTCTGCCAATAATCTGTAATCCCAGTTTTTTTTTTTGATAAGCCTGTAGATTGAAAAGAGTAATGATTTATACCCAAAAACACGAATAATAGATGATGAGACAATTGCAACTTTGTGGAACTTTAATGGCTGTTTTTCTCTTAATTCATGGTTTTATGTGATGAAAATTTCTGGTTTGTAGCATCGCTCGTCTGAAAATTGTTTAGTAATAACATAAATCTTTGCAATTGCAAGATTTTCTCATCAGGCTGGGGTAGGTAGGATCAGCTGGGTTTCTTTCTCACTCTGCAAAAACAGCGAAAAAATCAAGTTTTAATGCCAAAATTTCCTTACAAATTTGAATTGTTTTCGCAGCAAGTCAGCACCTCCTCGTCGAGCTTTGAAGCAAAATTCAGTCACAGAAGACTCTTAACATGAGCGTGCATAAGGCTGATCACTCGATTGTGTTAACGAAAAGGGCCATAAGTACATGATGTTGATATGGCAAAATTGTCGGTGTTTCTGCTGCATCTATCAAGAACCCTAACAACAATACTTTAGGGATGCTAATGGGTATTCACAAATTACATTTCAATTATATTTATACCCTATCCAAAAACCTTAAATATATCCACAATGTTTTAGATATTCTTTTGAATATGTTATCCAAGTATTATTTATTATTTAACATAAAATATATATTAAATGGGGCGCAAAATTATCATTTCAGCATGATTTATAAACAAAATTCTTTATAGAAAAACATTGTACAAAATGTTCTGCTCGATGAATTCTGTCTCAAAGTATACAAGTATGTATCATTCCAATCATACGTGGCTATTGAAAAAGGGGCAAGATGGAACGCAATGAACATGACTACAAGTTAAAGTTGTTAGTATGAGCACAGGCAGCAAGACATTTTTCTCCTTCAAGGCATAGGCAGCAGGCCTTTATGATGCGACAACGGTTCTACTGAGGTGTCTGCGAATGTGGTGGTGGACCAGATGGTTGTGGTGGAGGCATACCAGATTGGTTTCCAGACTGCAATTAGGATTAACATATGTTAGCTCTTCTTGAACAAGCACAATGTTGCATGCACAAGCCTGCTCAGAAACTAGTAACATTTAGAATTCTGTACTGACTCTCATGTTCGTTACTTGATATATGCAAGAGACATGAAACATGATATATGCAACCCGGAAAAAACAAAAGCATAACAGTAGCAGATAAAATTATGCATGCTTACATCAACAGTATCCCTCGTCATATCCTAATTGAATTGCTGTGATCACAAGTCAATAAATTCTAGAAATTTTACCTAATCCAACACTGTAGACTTCAATTAGAGACAATTATCTCCATGACACAACTCTGCATCTCTCTATTCTTCCTCATCATAGTGATAAAAGTGGCATGTTTTAGAGGGTTTGGTTTTCAGTTTTGCGAACTGATACCTATTCGGCAACGAAGCCAGAAGACCTTTTTAATTGATAATGTAAACATTCCGTGGGTTCCACAGTGATTCATGTTCAAGTACACTGTTTAAATTGTCTATGGGATCTGAAAATGACAGGGACAAAATACCATCAATTTACACTAGACATTTTTAGTGTAGATATGGGGATGGTACATGGCCCATAACAAAACAATGTGATGTCTATCTTACCTGGTAGGGATTAAACCCAGGCATCATTGGCATCTGTCCACCTTGAGGATGGTTGAATGGACCACCCTGTGGATACATTTGCCCCCCTGTGGCATTTGATGGGCCCTGCATATTGGGCAGGCCATTTGGAAAGCCCCCGCCAACTGGAGGGGCAGCACTTGTGGGCAAGGATCCTGAGTGCATTGGATTCATGCCCATAAAATGGCCCTGTGGCAACAGAGGTACCATCTGACTCATCGTCCCTTGCATCACCTAAAAAGGAAAAAGAAAGAGTAAAATATAACATTCCAAATACAACTCATTAAGGAAAGTGCTGAACAGATGTAACTTGAAACTAGAATTACAAAATCTATTTTAAACGAGACCATGTCCTTTCAATCACAACGCGTGTTTCTAAGCAGAAGCCTCCTTTGCATCGTCAAACATGCAGAGAAACTACTTGAGAATCTTTTTAAGATACGCACCAAATTGCCACAATTGGAATAAAAGTGAGTGGGGTTGGATGAACTTGGGAAAGAAATATAGAAGACTGGAGCGCTATACCATACCATTGGACCAGGCATTGATGTAGGCAAAGATCCGGGCATTGAAGATGGGATTGGTGAAGGCATGCCACAAGGGGGCATTTGAGGAGGGCGAGGTAGATGGGGATGAGAGAGCAGGGGTACATGGGATGGAGGCAGTAGCTGTTGCATATTTGGAGGTGGCATAGGCAAAGGAGGCATGTGCTGAGGGAGTGGCTGCTGCTGAGGACTTTGCTGATATCCCTGCTGCTGATTGGCTGCATGAAGTGACGGATGTGGACCAGGAGGAAGAGGAGGCACTCCAAAGGGCATAGAAAGAAGAGGCTGCCTCTGCTCTCCCTGCGATGCATCAAGCGATGTAATTGATAGTGGCATTGCAGCTCCAACACCTGGAATAGTTCCTTCATTTCGAGTCAGTCCAGGAGCAAATGGTCCTGGAGTTGTCGGTGGTTCAGGTACATGGAAATTGCCAGGGAAGCGGCCACCAAGGGCAGGATTTTGCTCACCATAACCTGGTAGAGATGGTAATGCTTAGAAAATTAATTAATAAAATATGCTTTTGTATACCAATCATGTAATCATTGAAAATATCATGGCTTCAAATTTTTGGAACATGTACAAGGATATTTTCTGGCCAACGCAACACATGATTGAATTTAATACAAAATATCGATCAAGCCATGTACGGTTTCACCAGTTTGTAAAGCCTAACCTTGGTTTTGACCCATGTTAAATTTATCACGGGCAGTGTCTCCTGGCCTATTTCGACACCAAAACTTTGTTGTGTGATCATTGCTACCACTGAAGAAAAAATTATGCAGGTTTAGTAACTAATGAGGTAGAAACACCTTAGAAAGGGTTATAGATTAAGACAAGGAATTTAACATTTTGTTTTTTTTTTTTAATTTTAGTCCCCCACCAGAACATTGAAATACAATTATTTGATATTCAAATCTTTCATGAAAACCAAATTCTCGAAGTTGCTACAGCCAAGTACTCATTTATACTCATTTAGCACAGCCAAGAACTCTCCTTCCTTTCTTTTAAATAGAAGATCATCATAGATAGAGTGCAAAATTCAGCACAAAAACAAACATAAGAATCTTACCGAATAAAAATATTGAAAAAAGGGTTTCCAAGAATATCAACTAATGGAACACCTCAAAAATACTGGAAGCAGAAAAGCATGATAAACCAAAAAATCTATTCCATGATACACTGTTTGCTTCGAAAAACTTCATTCCTTACGATTTTCAAGTTTCCATGCTTCAAAGTCAGCCTGTGTGACTGTTTCATTTATTAATGGTGCAATTGGAGAGTAACTTGTGAAGCAGTTTCGGATAATCAAATCTTTTACAAGTTAGATGACATGCACATTACAATGGCATTGATATGTGCCACTCACATTGCTCTTTAACAAGTTTACAAACCAACTTACGATGCTATAGAACAACAAACAAGACACTGTAACATCTATTTTTCTAGAAAAAACTAAAGCTGCAGTAACTATATTAAACCACATTCAATATTCTAAGCAATGACCCATGCCACCATTTTAACTTTCTTTCTAATAAAATGCAAGAAAGGTAATTTATTTGAATACCTGTTCAAAAGGGAAGGAAAACTAAAACCAGTTAACATCCCAGGATATTCAATTAACTTGAATTTAGTGCATTTACCTGCAAAGAAGATATCCAATAGGATGCCATGAAAGATCCCAAACACTATTATCATGAGCACTGGAAACTTCAGCCTGGGGGGTTTCATGCCTATACATCACAGCCATAAGATACAGAAGGTATATGAGATTACTTCCATATGAGCAGCAAGCAGCATAAATAGCATCAAACAGGAAAATAGAGTCAACCGACACAATCAGAAAAAAGAGAGGAAATAAGATCAAAAGATTGGTTGTTTTCAGTAATCCACCATCCAAAACAAAAAAAGGTTTGGCAACCAACAAATTCTGAGAAGAAATCTTAAGATCTATTTTCTTGTTTTCTTATATTTTTAGTTGAATAATGAGCCCACAAAAAAATAATGGTTGGAGGACTCCATATACATCCCCTTCCACTGAATTACTTTAAATCACACACCACAAAAAGAGGGTTCTCTTCAACCTCCATATACTCATTTCCTTGGCATAGATTTTTGATGCCTTACAAATATTTTAATGAAAACATATTAAAAACAAATAACATTCAATCACCTAATGTATACCATGATGAGAACTTCAGAAAGAAGTTGTAGAATAATTTAACAGTAAAAAAAATAGAGTTCTATTTGAGATATCAACATTACCCCACAAGCCAATGGAAAATGGATCCGTCATAACTCCCGCTAACAAAGTACTCTTCATGAAATGGATGCCAAGCCAATGCTGGAAATAGTAGAGAACATTTTTACGATAAGTATATCCTTGTATACAAATCACACGACAGAAAAGTTACAGAATTAAAACAAGCATGCTAACAATTTTAATCCGAGCTCAGCCAACAGTAAGCATGGCATATTAAAGTGGAAAATTTCCATAACTTTATAATCAAGGGCAGACCATTCTACAACTGAATTTTATCCTCATATGATGTGCATAGGTGAAAGGTGTTCCTAACCAGTCACGTCCTTCCGATGTCCACGGAAAGATTCAAGCTCCTTCATTGCCCTTAAATCATAAAGCTGAAAATGTGAAAAAATTACAAAAAAAGGGTCAACATTCAAGCCCCAACCCTTCATAAAAGAGACCTTTGATGTGAGAAAGAATTTGCAAACCTTGATGATTTGATCTTTTGAAGCAGTCAGCACCCAGTTACCATTTTGGTTCCATTTGACACAAAGAACAGTATTTTTGTGGCCATGACTGCAAAACCCATGCTGAACTTGTCAATTTTTTTATAAAAATTCTAAACCAAATCTTAGCCTAATCACCAAGAAAATATGTACTCACAATGAGCAAAGCTCTCTTCCAGATTTAGCATCCCAGAGTTTTACTAGGTTGTCTTTCCCACCTAAAAAAAAGTCAATTAGCAGCATCAACCACGACAATGCCAACTTAATAAAGAGATCAGGATGTTCCAAAAAGAAATAAATGGCTGACCTGAGACCAGAAGAGATTTTGTAGGGTGCCAATCAACACTCTTCACATCCCAACCATGGCCTGTCTGAGTTCAAAATGATGCAGATAAAACTTTTTAGGTTGCTCAGTGCAAATATTATGAGCACAACACACAGACAGTAATCTAAGCCATCAGACTGTCACTTACACCAGAACTAGAAATACATGCAACAGTAAGTAGTCTGATCACATCATGGAAGCAAACCCATCAATATTCCTAGCATTAGTCTCTACACGCAACAGGAAGTAGTCCGATCACATCATGGAAGCAAACCCATTAATATTCCTTGCATTATTCTCTAAACTATCTCTTACAGAAGAAAATGATTGAACAACAGTCTTAGGCCCATTGCATATTTCAATATTCTTCTTTCAAGGTTAACGTTTCTGACTAAAAGCATGGTATTGTATCAAGCAATCTTAAAGAAACATTATCTGCAATAATTCAGGAGAATGGGAGAAAGAACATCCAATGAAGTACCATAAAAGAATCATCCCACACAAACTTAATATCATATGTTCATTGACCAAAAAACACATTACCTGTTAATGAACGCTCTTCATGGCACCGAGCAAAGTCCCAAACTTTAACAGTAGTATCATCGGAGCATGAACAGAACTTCAAATCTGTCCTACAGAAACTGTTCAAGAGGTTTACAATACAAACTTCACCAACACCATGTATTAAGAAAAAAGAAGGAAAAGGAAGGGAGATATGAAGCAAAAATCTACCTTAAGCCACGCACTGATTCTTTATGAGCAGATTTATTGACCTTAACATTATTCATGTTGCTCTGCCAATACCTAAAACAACATTAAGAAAAATATTAAATGAACAACATATATGAACATAATAGCAACAAAGCTATAAGAGCAATGAAGAACATATGAGAATTACTTAATTGAACCACCATCATCACCAGAGACCATCCAATTGTCATTGTGGCTCCATACCATAGACCTGATTGCTTGATCATGAGCCTGCACATAAAAGAATTCCACAAAAATCATCAATATGGCTTCTTTCCTGGTTAAAAATCAACATTAAATGATCATATCTACACACCTGAAGAATCATTTCAAAATTAAATGACTGTCCATTCCAAAGGGTGAATTCCCCACTTTGAGAACCTGTGATTAGACGTTTCCCATTTGGAGTCCACTACATATCAAGAAAAGGGTCAACATATGTTTGATTACAAAGTTAAATGTGATGAATCCCAAAAGAAAGAATCAAAATGTTTTGCTGTATTTATGAAGGGAAAAAATGGCAAGGAAATTGTAATGGCAAAATAAATTTAGACCAGGCAAATAATAAACGGCATTCAAACTCATTTCAAATTAGACAACAAGCATGTGCACATCTTGCATGTATATGCAGGTGCGCAGGCAGATGCACCCACTTTTTTTATTACTATTAAGCAAATGAAGTCATCTACTCTGCCAAATAGGAATTGGAGACTACCGATTAGAACTCAACAACTTTCTACACTATCAGACACGAACTGCAGACTAAGATCTCAAAGAGCTAACTGGTAGATAATTTAAAGACTAGTAGGATGAGTTCAGTTTGTCGGAAACACCATGGATCACCAGTCTTCATCTAACTTGATATGTCTCAACAGGTAATTTGCACATCTAGCAACAATTTCTTTTTTCTTTTTTTCATTCATATCTACAAAATGAAAGGATAAAACTTTATGCTATCAAAATGAAATTACGAAACAGCACATAAGAATAATTGTGTTTAAGTCATTTTTCATAATGTCATACACAATTATATATTTGACACCTCAGACAAGTAAAAACTAAGTTTGAGGATCCATTAAATGAATGACACTCTCGTTTGACTCTGAGCCTGAAACATGTTTAACAGGGAAAGGAATATTGCAGATAAATTCAGCGCATATTCCCTTTCATAAAAACCAAAGCAAATTGACTTTAAACTTCTAACTTCAAAAGAAACAGAATTTTACTTCACGATCCATCATAGAACAGTATGAGCAGATCATGCTACTTCCTAAGAGAAATAAATGTTTGTCTATTCAAATATGTAACAAAGTCCAGAATTCTGTCACAATCAGACTTACCAAAACCCGATTTATCGAACAACGGTTTTTGTTTAGAGATGTATGAACAAACTTTGTGGCAAAGCTTGTTGATGGATTATCAGAATAGGCAACTGGAGGCAACATCTACAACAGAGATCAAAACATGAAGAAAATTCACATGCTTGAAGCATAGAAAGATATTAGGCTAATAGCTACTTTGAGCATATCTCATAAAGAAAGAATATAGATAAACAATGTTCACTAACATCGATAGCAGCTGCTGGGGTATGTTGCAATACTGTCCTGTCCCTCAAGTCCCACTGCCACATACGAGTCTGCAGCAACACTGAAACAAGATTACAAGTGACTCAAATAACAAAAGATCTATTGATACAGGCACTGGGGGGACACCAACCACTTGCAAAAGCAAAAGAAACTAGCTAGCAAATCATTGATGGTACATCATATAAACCACATAAGAGAATACGTGATCTCTGAAGTTCAATTGTTTAATTCTTCTTTGTTGGAATGCTAAAAGTGTAAAGTTTGAACCCACAAGTCCTTCAAACAGTTGAGAGTAGAATCTCTCCCAAATACTCTTTGTTCCACTCTCTTCATGAAACCCAAAATATTAGTAGAGGCATACAAAATCCTCTACTTCTCTTTTTTTCCCCTTAAAAAAACCACCACATCTCCAAGCAATTACAAAACCTTATAATTCTCTCTTTTTCCCCTGTACAAAATCCACCACTTCTCCAAGCAATCACAAAACCCTATACTTCTCTGTTTTTCCACTGTACAAAAACCACCTCTTCTCTTGGTCAAGATCAACTAATCCCACCATAACCCAAAGAAAACCACTAGTCCTGTACAACTATGAATTCAACACCAACACTGATAAGCTTTTATTCTTAAGCAAAATATAAAAGAAACCAACAACAGATTCAGATATTGGAATTAACACGGAAAAATAGATGCCTCATCAATTATTCAATTACCATTACAAGAACACCAAATCCGGCCAGAAACACATCAACAACCAAAGAAAATAAATTCCAAGACCTACATCGCTTCCAATTGAGATACATATCACAAAAATTACCAGCTATCATATTTCAAGCATTACCTGAATATACCTAACAACCGTGCTTGTATAATCAACTGCTCTCCTCTGCGTAAGCTTCCTCATCCTTTTTCCACCGTAACCATCACCATGACCTATAACAACAACAACAAAAATCAATCAATCAATAAAATGACAAAATCCCAATCAAAACGCACAATTCAACATCATAACTGAGGTTAAAATTGAAACCTGGTCACTCTAATTAAACTAATCAAAGACAGAATTTTCAAACCCTAAAACACTTAAAAAACAACAATGCACTTGTGTAACTAACTAACTAGCTTCGTATTTAGGAGGAGGAACTGGGGCGGCCTGCGGATGGTGGTGGTAATCAAGCGGGTTAAGAGTGGCTGATGAAGCGGAGGACTGTCGCATCATTGGCGGTGGCTGCCCTCTATGAAAATCACCACCAAGAGGCGGTTGCTGTTGGATATGTTGTTGGTGCTGGTGTTGTGGCTGCCGGTGCTGGTGGTGTTGTTGTGGCTGCTGGTGCTGGTGCTGTGGCTGCTGGTGCTGGTGTTGTTGAGGATCACCGTAAATCATTTGTAACGGATAAATTAAACGGTGATCGGAAGAGGTTGGGGGGAGGAGTGAAGGGGATAAGAAAGTATAAATTGGAGTGAGAAACTCTTTTTATCCAAATTTGTTAACAAAATATGCTAAACATCTACGTGGAAATTTCAAAAGATTAATTAATTTTTTTATAAAAAAGTTAATTTAAAATAAGATTATGAAAAAATAAATTCTATGGAGATTGGAGACTGGATTTAAAGTTTTTTTAAATAAAATTTAAAATAATATTATTTATTTTTTTAAAATTAAAATGTTTGGATTGGTTTTTTGGTAAAGTTAGTTATTTTTTAAAGTATTTTTTATTTAAAAATATATTAAAATAATTTTTTATTTAAAAAATATATTTTATATTAATATATTAAAATAATTTTATAAAAATTCAATTTTTATTTAACCCTCGTGTAAAACGCAATATAAATGGAAGCTTAATCTGGTTAATAAACCGGGTTAAGTTTAATAATATAATTATAATTGAAAATATAAATAAATAAGAGAAAAATCTTCTTTCATTAACTACTGGTGTTCAACTGTATAGTTGTTCCGTACAAAAAAGTAACGTAAAAAGTAGTGACCATAAAAAGGAACCAGCACACCTGGAATAGGTTGGTTGCTCTCGATGCCAATCCAAGAGAGGCAGCCGTCGCATAGACCTCCACAATTGCCGCCGTAGCCACCGGTGTATTGCAACCTTGTCCCTGCCTGTAAGTTTTCTCAGATCCCATCTACCAAAATCCTTTCTAACTTCTTAAAAAAAAAAAAATTCTTTGTTTCTTAGCATATGCAAATATGCAATCTTTGTAAATTGGAAGACTGAGGACTGGATGTTATGTTAGCGTAATGTTAATTAGAGACCCTTTTGAAGAAGAATTTATGTTATCTTGAGTTGTTTGATTATTCAGTTTTTCATGTTTAATTTCAGTTATTATGCTCAGTAATTTAAATGTTAGATGGCCTTGGACCCTGTAAACTATCCAGCCTGTTTAATTATCCAATTTTCTTTAGTCAACATGCATTATAGAATATAGACTGCTGAATATGTGGTAATAGTAGTGGTCAGAAACTGTGTAACCGTAAGCATAATTTTCTTGCATGCTAAAGATCGATGGTATAGCAATGGAGTATTAGGGAAGATTAGCGTTACTCCTGTCATTATGCTATAAACTGAAAATGACTCGGATTTTTTTCCTTTTCCTTCTATGAACAATGAATTGACTCAGATAGAAATAAAATGAAAGCCAGTTTAGGTTCATACCTGATGTATCTGCAAAACCAAATATGCTTATACAACATTCTCCACTTTCCTAAATTGGCTTTGAATTATTTGAATTACCTGATTATTAAACTGGCTTAATTAGTCAATCTACAACCTACAAGTTAATGAAAAACCCATGATTTTTTGAAGAAAAAATATATCATTTTAAAGGTTTTTTATAAAAAAAACTTGGACTAATCTACATTAATATGCTTAATCAATTACCCCGGCTTTTAGCGGGCCGACTACGGATCTTATGATCTTATAACTATGTGGAATTATCTATTGTACATTTATTGAGCTTACTAAAGTTGGGAACTTTAATCCTGACCATTAAGATTTAAAAGTTAAAACTCCTTTTCAGTAAGTTTAATAAATCATAAATGCAATGCATGCTGCTTTTACTGTGAAGGTATCACTTCACAAAAGAGTAACTTAAAAGAATAGTTCTTTTATAAATTAAAGAGCATTTGAATTAATGAGAATGAGGGGGAAAATACAGAGAAATACACTAAATTAATCTATAACTCTTGTGAGGTTTTAAGTTTATACAGTAAATTGACAGCTTCTGTTTCCTGTTTTGGAGACTTTGCTGTGTTGTTCATGCTTTAATTAGGTTTCAACAGCAAATAAAAATTACAAAATTATTTGGCAAGTAAAATATAAAAAATGTTTGTTTTTCTAATATTGATAATTAGAGTCGAGCATCATAAAATTTCTCAATAAAATAGTTTGTAAATGAAAAGGATAGATCAACTGAAAGTTCAAAGTTTGAAATTAATATTATAATCTAAAACTGTTGTGAATTTATATATTATGTTTTTGGGATTGAGATTCAGGTATTTTTTAAAATATATTAGAATATTTTTTTTTATTTTTCATACCAATATGTCAAAATTATTAAAAAACACAAAAAAAATATTAATTTAATTATTTTCAATTCAAAAACATTTTTTTTAAATACTCAAACCAAAGACGGGTTAAGCTCGGAAGCTCCTAATACAAAGCGAGATCTAAATTGTATTTTAAGTAGAATAAAAAAAAATTGAATTGGGAAAGTTTTTAGTAATTTAGATAACCTGAAGAAACCGGACATCATAAACTTTAAAAAACAAAAAAAAAACATTATTTTAATTAAAATAATTTACTTAGTGAGGCAATGATTATTTTATAAAATATTTTTTTTTATTTTTTTAAATTTATTTTTAATATCAATGCACACAAAACTAATATAATATAATAGTTTTCATCAAGTGATTTTCTAATCCACCCCCGATGAATTCTGAAAACCATGTTTCAACCCAGCAAACATCAAAAAAAAAAAATCCAAAATTTAATATTGGGCATAAATTTAAAAAGCAGTCGGGAGTCACAGATCGAATGAAAAAAGATTTTTCTTTTCACGTTCACACATGAAAATATTATATTTTTTGAAGAAATTGGAACCATCCAAAAGCAATTGTCATCATCAACCCTTCTTTTTTTTTTTTATCATATTACGCTAGATATCTTCCCCAAAAATCCATGTGATATTTAAAAGTGATAAATATACAAATCAGTTGGCCCAATCACAATTTAAAAAAAAAAAGTAAGCAGAGATTATTCCTCTTATATTGTTTTTTTTTTTTTACTTTCAGATTTTCAATTTCTTAGACAATAAAGCAAACACATGACGTCCCAGCTTCAAACCCTCCAAAGAATTGAGGAGTCTGTACAGAAAATAGTATGTATTTAAATTTGAATACAATTCTGGTCATGATATATATTGTTTAATACGAGAACAACATTAAGGTGCTATTTTGAAATAAAAATAAATAAAAATAGCGGAATATAAACCTGATTAGGGTTGGGATTTAAATCGAATGAAGATCTAAAAAAAATCTAATTAACCTAGCAAATTAATCGTACTCAAAACTCGAGTAAATCTGTTTTTTTAATAAAAAAACAACATTATTCTAAATTGATTGAGATATATTAACATGTATAATTCGCAAACCAAGCGTAGTTTTACAATGATACCCTTGAGTAGAATCATTTGTTACAGCACACACTAGAGAGGAAGACAAGAAAACATTTGAAACATCCAACAAAATTCAAACGACAAAAAAAAAAAAAACAACAACCGCGTATGTTTCAAACTAGGCGGTGGTGGAGCTGTCGTATGTATCTGTCTGTAACTCTGACGTCATTATCACCCCCAACGAGGCGTCTCTGTTATGTAAAGCCCCTCTCTCTTCTCTGAAATTAGTAGCATTATATATAAATGTGTGTGTCCATGGGTGTAACGCGGAGTTATGGTTTATTCTTTGCCTAGCTTGGTATCCAATTCAAGCCTCAAATTCTTCTCCTCCACAATTCTCTCTAGCAGCAACAAAAGCAGGCTAACCCGAAGCTAAAAACCATCTCTTTTTCTCTTTTCTTCTTCTTCTTTTTTGTTCCCACTTTTATCTCTCTCTATCTACCTACCTATCCTCCTGTATTCAAAGAAAGACAGGAAAGCAACGGAAAGCAAAAAAATAGAAAGCAACTTCAAGAAAACAAAAACAGAAAGCAAAAACTCCAAAATTATTTTCACCTACCTTAATCAAAAAGCAAAGAGCAATCCTCCACCTTCAGTTTTTTTATCCCACGGTTAGAATTCTCTGATCATTTCATCTCCGTCACCATCGTCAGCACCGGATTTGAACGGGCTCGGATTGTTTTTGAAGGTAACGGAAAAGGTTATCTTTTTTGGTTTTTGGCATTTCTAGAGTTGAATTGTAGGGTCAGGGTTGCTTCATTCTTGATCTAATCAAGAGTCCCAGAGAGGAAATCGTTGAAATTCTTGAGATTGAGTTGATTTTGTGATCTGGGTCGATGGCTGAATTTGAAAATAACCAGGAAATCACACCCAATTCGAAACCCACCACCAATAAAATGACCTCTAGTTCTATATTCAATAGGTCTCTTACAATTCATTCGACTTCAGTGACAAAGCCTTACCTTCAATCAACATCAGGATTCTACAATTCTTTTGAGTCCATGAAAGGAAAGGTCAAAAAGCTTCGGTCTTTGTTTGAGTCCCCGAAACCGAATCCCAATGAATTGCAAATTCAAGCAACTAATAAGCTACAATCTGTGAAATCAATGGGGCCTGATTATAATAGGTTCCCTGTTAATGATAATAGAATTCGGTTGCCTGGTACTGAGGATAGGATTGTGGTGTATTTAACGAGCTTGCGAGGGATTCGGAGGACTTATGAGGATTGTTATGCGGTGAAGATGATATTTAGAGGGTTTAGAGTGTGGGTTGATGAGAGGGATATTTCGATGGACTCAGCTTATAAGAAGGAGCTGCAAAGTGTGTTGGGAGAGAAAAGTGTGAGCTTGCCGCAGGTGTTTATAAGGGGGAATCATGTAGGTGGTGCTGAGGTGATTAAGCAAATGTTCGAGACGGGCGAAATGGCAAGGGTTCTTGATGGGTTTCCAAGACGGCTGGCTGGGTTTGTTTGTGCAGGGTGTGGGGATGTGAGGTTTGTGCCATGTGGGAATTGTAGTGGAAGTAGGAAGTTGTTTGATGAAGATGAAGGGGTGCTTAAGAGATGCTTGGAATGTAATGAGAATGGATTGATTCGGTGCTCGGATTGCTGCTCGTGATTGAAGTCAGATGCACACACCTGACTTGGTGTGCTCTTGTAGTTGTCTCGTTGCTGTATGTAATCAATGTGAGGGTTGGCTTCAAAATGCTCTTTCGGATTCACAGGCTTTTTTTCTTTTTTTTCATTGTATTTACATCGGTCAAGGAGACTGGTGTTGGTTGTTTTATGAAGAGTGTCTTGAACAATAATAGTTACTATGTGTTATCAAAACTCCAAATTGGTCTTGGTAGTTTTGTTTGTATTTTATACAGGGGGGATTATTTCTCCTTTGTGGGAATGTAAATATGTAGTGCTAATGCATTGCAAAAGGATTTGCAAATGATGTATTGCAATGAAAATGGGTGCTTTTAAACCCTAACTTACTATACGTGAATACTGTGTCGTTGAAAATGTAGATTTTTCTTTTTATTCATGTTGTTTAGATGAATACTGTCGACATGAATACAAGATTAAACTACAGGTTTATTTGCTTTTGTGGATTGTTTATATACTTCGAGATTTTGTTCTCTTTCTGAATAGCAGTACATGGCAGATTTGGCTCTGTATATTGTTTTCACTTTGCTGCTTAACAGAAAATTTCCTTTTCTTTTGGGAATGCATAATTGTCTAGGAACATACGCCGAGGAAGCTATTGCAAAATTGCTTGTGGATGTTGTGTTACCTTCATGATTGAGAGAATTTTTCTTCACCTGACAACGTAAAAAATTTATATTTGTGATATACATATGAACCAGGTGATCGCTTTCTTTAAGAATCGGCAATGTAGTGTTGTGCCCTGATTATTGTTATGTGATTCCTTTAATTCTCTGCAACCTTTGTTGGATTTGGCTCATCCTTTCTGCATCAACAATCGAAAATATGGTGAGGTAAGTATGGTTATATGCAAATTTTGCACTTTGTGGAATGCTAGATGTTTGTTTAGGTTGCTCGCAAGACTGAATTAGCCTGCAAGTGTGTTGTGCTCATAACTTCTAGTTTATGTATATTGCTTCTGTAATTAACTAGAACTGCCTTGATCCTTGCATCAACAGAAATTCATGTGTATGCCTGTAAAAAAAGAAAGTATTTCAAAACTTAAATCCTTGTATAATTATCTGAGCAAACCCCGGGTTCCTCATTATCTCGTCGTTATTTAATTTTTACTTTCAACTTTGACTATATTTCTTTCAATTATCCAGTCAATCTGCTTTCCATTTGAATCCTGTTGTATGAAATGTTTCCTTTTTCCAAGGCAGTTGATCTTCAGTTCTTTTCAGGGGATTAATGTAAACCCTCGTCGGATGCCTCCGCACTGCCCAGTCCTGAGTACTGTGCTATGGCTTGTTTGTTTTCTTGCATCTACATCTTCACTAAATACTAGAAACAAGACTGAACTGTCTGAGCTTGTATCATATCGATGGACATATCAGACCATTCTTATTATGTTTGCAAATTTCTGTCAAACAAACAAGGAGAATAGTGAGACCGAATGGATTAATGATCTTATAGCTGTCTGAGCAGGTGAGCTTCCCTGGGTCAAATCCACTTTGGTTAACTTATAGCTGTCTAGCTTCTATCATACTGATTGAGATATCACACCAGTCTTGGTGAGAATTGATTGGTGATCTTATGTAAAAACCTTTTTTTTCTTCAACATGAATCATAAGGGTCTGTGTATCTTAATTTCTTTTGTTCAATTTCTTCAAGAGTGATAGCGATAATGCTCCAACTTGAAATGTTTCCTATTGAACAAGTTTCAGAAAGATAACTCAAATGAATGGTTGGTGCTCACAGATAAGCTGGCGTTGTCTAGACAATCTCCTGTTATGGCTGCAACTAATCTGTCAAAAAAACTAGCAACTATCTGTCAAGCAAATAAATTGGAAGATGATAGGGCATTCATTTATGGATAAATATACCTGAAAGTCTCTATCCAGGGACAAAAACTTTAAAGAATGAAGCAAGAAGAGTCAAGAACAATAATGCCATTCCAAGAACTATTGAAATGAAAAGCAAATTTAACATGATAACATCAATAAGGAAATTTGATTCACTCATTGCTGTTTCAATACAATTTAAAATAACACATTCTTTTTCTCATCGGGGCAATTTCCCAGATCGAAAAACTGCAAACTTGTTAGCTTCCGAGTAGGAAAACTCAATCCCATTACCCTTCAACAATCCTTCAATCAACTTCTTATCCTTCTCAGGCTCTTTACTCTCACATTCAATCTCATAACTGGTTCCAAAATCATAAATTGTCTCATCAAGCTCTAGTTTCAGTCCTTTCCAGTCAAACACTTGCCTCACATTCCTAAACATACCCAAACAAACAAGAACCTCGTTTTCTCCAACCCCAAACTCCCTTCTGACTCTCTGTATTATCTTTGAACTCTCTAATAATCCCAGTAACTGGCCGGGCTCAGCCACGCACATGCGGCCAATCTTAGGGTCAATGGGCTCTTCTTGTTCTTCAACGCGGCTAATGCCATCTGACATGGTAGGTTTAGCTTTGAGAGAGAGGATGCAGTAAGAATCAAGATTGTAGAAACGAAGACGGAGAGCTGCGAAGTTTGAGGAGAGTTTGGAGTTGGTGGTGTCAAAGAAGATGTTTTCCTGGATTAAGGTTTTGGTGTGGAAAGAAGAGAGGATGATGGACAGTTTTTGGTGGGAGTTTGAGTCTGGAAGCCGAAGTTTTACCTCAACTTCCATTGTAATAATTATCGATTGATTGGTTTCTGAGAAAATGGAGGAAAACACTGATGGGTTTTATGATTGCCTCTCGTTTCTCATCAACCTAGTAGAGAAAGCTGTACTCTATCTTGAATACTGAAGTGGAACTTCCTCATTCGTTGGGTTGTTTATTTATTTTGATCGGCGGTGATGAGGGGAGCGAGTAGGCAGAGGGTTTTTGGTATTATAGTAGTTGTTATGATGTAAAAAATATTATTTAAAAAAATTATTTTTAATTAAAATTATTTTAAAAAAATATATGTTTAGTTAAAATTAAAGTTAAATAAAAGATAATTTAATATATTTGATTAAAAAAAAATTTAAATTGAGGTTATAAAATAATTAAAAAAGATATATATATTAATATTGATGATTTTTAATTTAAATATTATAAATTTAAATATAATTATTATATTATTAAATAAATAATATTTATATCAAATATTTTTTATTGTTCTATTAACTTATCTAGAATTTTATTATGCATAAAATTCATCTCATAAGAATTATAGTTTTTATAGTTTTTTTTAGCATATAATAAAATCAGATAAAATATTATTAAAAATAAAAATAAAATTATGATTAAATTCTACAAATATTATATTATCATGCGATCTATTTCTAATTTATATAATATTATTAAATAATATTAAATAATATTTTTTCAAGTAAAATACAATAAAAAAATTCAATCGGTTAAAGAAATTATTCACGTGAACTGTGACAATGCCAGATGAATTAATTCACAAGGCATTGTTCACTTCAATATTCTCTCTTCTATGTTTCAGATCTTTCTTTTACCACTGAAAAGTTGGGAATATTAAAAGAAGCATCACTGAAAATCTCGTCAGTTGTCCGGAGCAACAAATCACGGGTTGATTGGTAAGCATCATTTTTTTTATTATCACTATCACTCTCATTTGTGATCAATTCTCCCTTAATTCTCTGGTCAGAACTATCCACCTTCATGCATGATAATCTTTTCGAATCAAAATGAGTTTTCCTGTATTGACAAGCCTTAGCCCTTTTCTTCATATCCATCTGTTTTTGAAAGTTGATATCTTTGTCAAATTCATCTAACTTTATTGGCAAATTTGCTTGATCTTTCAATGTAATTAATGTAGCTGCTACATCACTTTTCTTGAAGTGAATAGGCAGAGTGAATTAATTTATTCTGTATAAATGTTAAAAAAAAAACAGATAAATATTATTTTTGGTGAATTAACGTTTGAAATGTTAATTATGATAGGTCCTACACATAGTAAATAATATTTTATATTTTACTAAATGATTTGTTTATATGGTTTGCTTTAAACACAAAACAATCACAAAAACAAACACACTTTTAACCTCAAAAAGCAGAGGATAAGGGAAATACAAAAGTTCAATTTCTTTATACCTACATGGTACACTACACAGCCCTAGATAAATTATAAGACATTGTTGTATACATACTATGTTAACTTATAATACCATTTACTGCTAGATGATATATTAAAGAGTTAAATTAATAAAATAGTTTTTTAAGTAATATAAATATAATTTTTTTATTTATATATATTTTAAATATAAAAAAACTATTTAGAAGAATTAATTATATTTTAATACATTTTATGTTAAACTAATTTTAATATAATTATATAACTAATTTAGTTATTTTTTATATAATATAATTATGATGTTATTAATACAAAACAAATTAAAAAAATATTGGCCAACGGATACATGTTATTTCATTTACTTTTAGCTTCTCCACATAAAAATGTAAAAATAACTTTTCAAAATAGATATTTTAACTATTCATATAGCTTACCCGTTGGAATGATTAAAATTAAAATTAAAAAGTAAAAGTATAATTTTTTTATTTTAGCTTTTGTTTTTTTTAATTATTGCCTTTGAGATGCTCTAAAAGTATGTTTAGTAATGTAATAATTGTTATTTTTTAAATAATTTTTTATATTAAAATATATATTAATGATGTTTTTTTATTTTTTAAAAAATTATTTTTAATATCAGCATATTAAAATGATTCAAAATATATAAACTATATTAAATTTTAGTAAAAAAACAAAAAAAAAATTGAATTTTTTGAGAAGGCATGTTGAACCGGATTTCCAAACATTTTCTAAGTAAACTTCCTAACCTATCTACTCATGAGTTAGCATCAGCTGGATTTTAAAATTAAAATAATTGAGAATCGACTAGGTAAGAAAATCAGCAATGTGATTAATTCTTGAAGAAAATCGGCAATGTGATTAATTCTTGACCCAGCAAATCAATTAATTAACTTTTTTTTAAAATCTTAAAAAAAAGAAGAAGCATATTACAACCCATCATCATAATTTTTTAAAAAAAAGAAGCATATTACAACCCATCATCATAAAATGTTTTAAGATATGATTGTTTCCCGAGATGATTTTTGAACAGGCACAGCTTTTTGAAACAGATGTTGACATTCTCCGAAACAGATTTGTTGCATTTTACTACCTGCATCCTGATCAGATATAATGTTCAGACAACCACGAGGACCAATATTTGTGTGTGTAAAATCACTATTAGACTCAACTTTTTCTTGGTTTGGCCAGTGGAATGCTCTCCCAGTGCACTTTGGTTGAGGCGTAGAAGTCTAAGTTTCCATCATGCTGATTGATAATATATTAGACCGATCTTGGTAGAATAACAAGAGTGAGAATTATTTCTGTCCCGCTGTGAATTTATATGCTACAGCTTGAGATGTTTTCTGTTGGTGCTTGCATCGAATGGAAATCAGTTTCAGGGTGACAACTCGATTGAGTTAGTGCTTGCAGATAAACTGACGTGGTCCATCCAAATCCTATCATGGTTGCAGCCATTTGTCAAACAAATACGGTAGCTGTGGAGCATGCAGTTGTGGATAATCTAAAAACATACCAGATCGTCTCTATCCAGGGACAGGTTTAGCCATTGTTATAAGACTCAGCCCAACGCGATATGAGTAAGTGAAAAGATCAGATTTTTTCCCTTTAAAATGATGTCTTTTATAAATAAATTTTTTTTGAGTTAATGTGAACCCACAATTCGAGCTTTGGAACAAGTCTAACTCAAGTCTAAGTTTTATAGCTATGTTTTTAATGAATTTAACAAGTGGTGTCTCGGGATCATGGTGTTTTAAGACTTGAAATCCCACCTCACACTCCAACTAGCTATCTGATTTCTTGGCACTGATATGAGCTTTCAGGAAATTTCAGCGCAAAACAAGAACAGGAACTATTTCCAGAAAATAAAACTGAGAATAAATATGAAATAACATAGTTTCACAAACAAAGCACATCCAGATAAATGAAACCATTCAGCTCATTCGAGTTGTTCCATTTTCTTCTCTAGGTTTGAATTCCCTTCCTGGAGGCCTATGTTTCTGAAAAACCATGGAACCTGTTAGTTTCTTGACCTGTCATCTGATTTTCAAGCCTTCATATTTCTTCAGATTTTCCTGTTATTATACATTTCCTAAACAGCTAGTTTTGTTGAAAAGGATTTCTGTTCCCTCAGAAGAGTGATTGTTGCATAACAAAATGGCTTTTGGTAAACACTCCTCTATCATCAGGAAAGCTGCAGAAGACTATTTTTTAATCAACCAAACAAGGATTCATTGGAAGTACTAACCATTT